GAAACGCCGCAGATGGGGCCGAAGGGAGTGTCGGGGGCTTCCCTGAGGAAGTGTCATTGAAGTCGGAACCCAAAGACAAGGAGCGGGAGTGGGACTGACCGGACGTGGAGGGATGTGAACAGCGTCCTCCGGGCAGAGGGTGCAGAGTGCACGGGGTGCAGGCGGTGCCAGCGGCGCAAGCTGCCCGGGTCACCCGAGGAGGCGGAGGTGGAGGTGGAGGCCGGGCCAGGGGGAGCAGTGGCGGCTGCTGGACCGCAGGGCCTCCTCGGCCATCCGAGGTCTTGCACTTGAACTCAGCACTGAGCTGCGGCGCCTCCTACAGTATGCAGAGAGCAGGGCGCTGCTGCACAGCCTGGGAAATTCGGCTGTGGAGGCAGAAACGGTCCCTCACACCCAACGCCTTCCAAGGTCACGGAAGCAGGTCCTAGGCCAGTGATGGCGAACCTTTTGAGCTCGGCGTGTCAGCATTTTGAAAAACCCTAACTTAACTCTGGTGCCGTGTCACATATAGAAATTTTTTGATATTTGCAACCATAGTAAAACAAAGGCATATTTTTGATGTTTATTTTATATATTTAAATGCCATTTAACAAAGAAAAATCAACCAAAAAAATGAGGTGACACGCGTGTCATTGGTTCGCCATCACTGTCCTAGACCTTGTTGGGAAGATTAACAGGGAGACAGTTGTTTATAAACGAGCTCTACCCTTGGGCTCCATCATGGAAGCATGATGTTAAGATTATCGACTCTTAGATTCATCACCCCCCCCTTTCTGTGTTCCTGCAACATTTTTTTCCTAAAATTAAAATAGCTTTATTGAAAAATACAGTTTCCCATTCAGAGAGGAACAAAGAAGAAACCAGATACCTCAATTCTAGAACAGTCTAGAGCAGCTCTTCTGAACGTGGGTCTCTGCATGGATTTGAAGGGCTTAGGAGCTACAGACAGCGGCCTGGACAGTTTGTGCAGGTGTGTTTTAGTTTGCAGCACATTCTCCAAGGGACCTGTGACCCAAGAAAGAGTTAAAGGCTGGTCGAGCAGTCAGGGAAGCCAGTGGTCCGTCACCGGCTTGCGCAAAGCCTGTAGGTTTGGGAGGAAATACCTGTGTGTCGCCCACAGGCTGATGGGGTGGTTGGGTGGGGACACTGCAGCCCCAGGTGGGCAGGGGGGTGCAGACCATCGCATGGAGACACCATTGGATCCCCAGACTGAGAGGGACGCTGGATGAGAGGACCTCCGAGGTCCCAGGGTCTTTAAATTGGGGACATTTGGAGGAGCAGGCCAAGCCACTTGAAAACAGGAGAACGAGGTGAGAAGTCTGAGAGTGCCTGCTTGCTTCTGATCGCAGTGACGGGGAAGCAGTTGATTCTGAGCTGAGTCCCAAGGACGCCTTAGAGACTCGGAGAAGAACCCGCTGGAGTGTCCTGGGAGAATGGGGGGAGCCCAGTGAGAGTCCGATGGAGAGAGCGGGACAGGAGGTGGGATTCTTCCGTCGTTCAGAGTTAACTTCTGCCTGAAAATACTCGGGATGAGTCACACCGTGATCCGACCCGTGATTTCTAGGGGTTTGTGTTTGGCCCTTCGTGGCCCATCGGCCGCAGCTCCTGGGCGCTGCCTGAGGAGAGCGGCAGCTCTGGCGGACAGGCCTCTGTGATGTAAACAGGAGCAGCGAGCTCTCCAGTTCTTACCCTGTTAGCAGGTTGGCAGGAACGTGCAAATTGTGACTCACTGCTCAATTTGGCACGAAATTAATCTTTCCGCGTCGCATCTGCTCAAGTGTGACTCGTCACCACTGCTGTGTTACTGCTTGTTTGCCTGTAGCCAAAGGTAGAAATTAAAGCAGTTTGCTCCTGCCGCAGAGCGAGCGGGACATACGGTGCCGTGTGGCAGGGAGCGCGCTGTGCCTACCTTCCCCACCTGTCCCTGCCCTGCGTGGCAGTGGGCGTGGCTTGGGGTGGGGGGCACCGTTCAGAGACGGCCTGCAAGAGGGGTACCTGGGCAGAGCCGCCTGGGCACCAGCCCCTGCAGAGAGAGAGTGCGCTTTGCCGCCAGCCTCATCCTTCTGTCAGGCCACTAGCGGTGGATCTGCGGTTTGAAAGCCATGTCTGCTTGCAAATGAATGTTTTGATTTTTGCTGCGAGGATTCAGACATTGTTTTCCTCAGTTAAGCAGGCAGCTGACTTTCTCTCTTTCTCCTCTTGGCAAACACATAATGTCACCTGTGAAAAGGAAATTTGCATCTCCGTTATGTTGGACATGGGAATGAAAAACATCTCCTGGAAATTGATTTCTGCTTCATGAAATCCTTGGGTGGAGCTTACTGAGCTGCTCTGAGATCGCTGGGTGGGAAGAAAACCAGTGCCGCCCAGGCCTCTCCACTCTCCCGTCGGCCGCAGACGGTTTTCCTGGGAACCTTTCCTCCCGCCGCCGCTGCCCTCCTTTCTCCACCCGCGAGCTCTCCTGGACACGGGGATGGAAGCGGCGAGGAGCACGCGTGGTCCGCAGCCAGGACTCGGGCCCTTCCTCATGCGTCCTGGAATCTGCACTGAGCTTGGTGTCCAGACCAGCGCTCGGCCTCCTCGCCTACTACAGAGACGGGCTTTCCAGAAAGTGCTGCGAGCCCTTCAAGGTGACCGCGTGGGGAGCAACCGGGAGCCTGCCTTCGAGCTGAGGTTCTGGTTCATTTGCATCCTGCTGTCGGAGCTATGATGGCTATTGATTATGATGGCTATTGATTGAGGATCGTTCAGAAAACATGCCCCTCTCCCCATTAGCATATGCTTAGCAAATGACCTCCGTTCTCATAGGACAGCAGATTTTTGCTTCCTGCTGAGTCTGAATTAACTGGGTTTAAACCGCGTACATAGATTTAGGAGAGAAATATGCAAATGTCCTATGGCCTGGTGTACACTTGGACGTGGAGTTTGCCGTGTGTCTCCACCGTTTCGAGGAACATCAGGAGTGATGGAAAGTGAGCTGACCTCCTTTCTTCATGTTTTCACCTTCCGCAGCATTTAAGCTCAGAGCCGAGGCTGTACCTCAGGCAGCTGCACATCTGGAAGGGATGGTGGGGCCTGAGGTGTGGTTTCTTAGTCACTGTGTCTTAGCCTTTTTATATTTTTTATTGATTTCAGAGAGGAAGGGAGAGGGAGAGAGAGAGATAGAAACATCAATGATGAGAGAATCATTGATTGGCTGCCTCCTGCATGCCCCACACTGGGGATCGAGCCTACACCCTGGGCATGTGCCCTGATGGGGAATCAAACTGTGACCTCCTGATTCATAGGTCGATGTTCAACCACTGAGCCACGCCGGCCGGGCTGTTTCTTAGCCTTTTTGAAAGTCAACAGAATGGGCCTTACCTCTAAGAACTACCTCTTGTTCTTTCTCAACTAGTTTGCTTCTTGCCATGGCCTCCTCTTCTGGTCCTCCCGGCTGTCTGGTGCTGGGTTCTAGAAGTCTTCGCACTTGAACAGCCGTCTCCCACCCTCTTCCCCAGCAGCCCACGCCCTCAGCGCACCTCCACCTCCTCCCGCGATCTCTGCGCATCTTCCTGCTGGGGGTTCCTCATTGGCCGCTGCCTTCGGAGCTTTTCCCTGCCTTCTTCGCTCGAAGTGTAAACTGTGATAACGTTCCCTAAGGAGAACCTGCGAGTTAATCAGTGGGATTGCTGTCTGACTTTCCGAGCTGATTCCCCGTGTTCGCTTTTTAAACAAATGGCATTGTGTTGTCTGCTGCTCTCAGGGGCCCTGGGTTGCAGGCTGACGCCTTTCATGTTGTGAGCGGAGAGCTAATCTCCCTCTCCCCCGCCCAGAGAACACGGCTTTTATATGGCCCTGATCTAATGGACTGTAATTTAATTTGTCGTGTCCAACAGATACGAAATCCAATGCAGAATCCTTAATGGATAGTTTTGCATCTCGGCTATTGTATTATACATCCCCTCTGTGGCCAGTGGATTGGATGGTGAGCACAAACACTGGTGGATTTCTTTCTCAGAGGGTCGGAGCCAGGCCAGCTCTGTCGGGGCTGCGCTGGCCATCTCCTTGGTGAGCCGCGGCTGGAGGGAGAGTTCACCCACCGAGAGGGGGCGTTTTTGCAGAACAGGCTCACCGGGGACCAGATGCCATGCCAGGTGCTTGCAGTCAGTTGTCTCAATGATTGTCAACCTTAAAGGAGACAGGTTCCATTTGGGCCAGAGGAACAGAGGACTTCCTTTGGGAGGAATGTCTCCAAAAAGAGTGGAACTGATAGAGCGCCAAACCCGTGTGACTGTAGTGAGAAGTTCAGAGTCGTGTGGAGAGGTCAGGGATAAAATGGTAAAAGGTACATAGAAAACTAATCAAGTGAAAACCAGGCAGAACAGGAAGCTGTACAACAAGTGAATAAATGTACTCATGAGCCGCGGTGTAGCTCAGCTACTAAAAATATATGTATGGTCCTGGCTGGGAGGCTGCCTGGGCTGGAGAGTCACCCCATACACCAAAGGATTGCGGTTCAATTCCGGTCAGAGCACATACCCAGGCAGGGTGCATACGGGAGGCAGCCAATCAGTGTTTCTCACATTGATGTTTCTCTCTCTCTCCCTCTCCCTCCTCTCTCTCTAAAATCAATAAACATACTAGTATCCTCGGGTGAGGATATGTGTGTGTGTGTGTGTGTGTGTGTGTGTGTGTGTGTGTATGTAGAATGTAAACATTGAATACCCATTTAAGCAAAAATTGTGCTATAACTTGAATTAGCTAGTGTCCCTCCAGGAAAAAGGAGGGGTTGGGGTTAGGGTTAGGGCACCTTAACCCTAACTAAAGACTGGTTGACTGGAAGGCAAGAGGAGGAACGAGGAAATAGTATATTTTACAAAGAGCCATGTTATCCCATAGCCTTCTTGAAAATGGATTCCATTAATACAGGTGAAACCGACAAGAAGTCCGGTGCATGTGGGCCCGTGTTCCTGAGACGAGGGTTCCGTTCATGCGGGTGTGTTTCTGTTCCCACTTAGGTATGTTGATGACGTGATCAGCCGCATTGACAGGATGTTTCCTGAAATGTCCATCCAGTTATCCAGACCCAATGGAACGTCAGCGATGCTCCTGGTAAGTCCACCTGGCCATCTGTATGGAAGAAAACTGGCCTCGAGATTACATGATAAAGGGGGACAGGCAGATTCTGGTGGCCCCGTTGTTTTCCACCATCACCGAGCAGTCACCACCAGGGGCAGCAGAGAGCCTCCGGTGTCAGCGACCTGTCGTGGGAGCCCTGGGTCGTCTGCAGTGTCTGCCCAGATAGAAGAGGCAGGAGGAGGGGAGGGTAGACTGGGCTCCCTCTAAGGCAGTTGGGGTCTGTTTGGCTCATCTAAAGCTGACCAGCCTTTCCTTGTGGGCCCAGAGGTATCAGGGCTTCGGAGCCCCTCAGAAATGGAGGGGCGGCCCCTTCCCTGTGTCTGACCTGGAAATACACTCCCGCACGGGAGACGGGCGGGCGCAGGAGGGGAGGACACACAGGCGCTCAGTAAATATTTGCTGAGTGAACACGCGAGTGACAGGTCACAGCATCTTCCTCTCCCATGTGTCTGAGTGTGCCCGCATGGGCTGCATGGGGACTGCTGCTGGGAGGGAAGGAATGAGGCATCCGCACTGGTTCCATCCCAGAACTGTCAGGGCATTTACGCCTTAACTTCCTCCGGCGTCTTTGTGAGTCGGAGGTAATGGCCATAGCTGTCCACTCCGTTCCCCGGATGATGCACCTTAAGCTTTCGGCCTCCGGTGTGGCTGCTCTCTCTGCCCAGCGGGGGGCTCTTTGATGCTGTGTATATTAATATCATGATGTAATAAATCCTATTTCCGTTCTTTGAGGAGATGAGCTCAGTCATCCAAAAATAAATCTAGCTGTGTTGATATTTAGTTTCAGTTCATCTACCGCCTAACATCCCATTATTAATTTTCTCCCAGCAGTCAAAATATTGTAAGCGCTTAATCGAGTCAGAGACGAGAACAAGCAGCTGGCTTCTTTTGGCATTTAAAATGTTCATGTGCTACCTGGCTGGTATGGCTCAGTGGTTGAGTGTCGACCTATGAACCAGGAGGTCATGGTTTGATTCCTGGTCAGGGCACATGCCCAGGTTACGGGCTCGATCCCCCACGTGGGGTGTGCAGGAGGCAGCTGATTGATGATTCACTCTTATCATTGATGTTTATATCTCTCTCCCTCTCCCTTCCTCTCTCTGAAATAAATAAAAACATATCAAATATATTTTTAAAAATATATTAAAAATTGTGACTGATTCACCAGGTATAAAATTGTAGGAAAAAGATGAAACTTCAACCATGATATTTGAAAGATATCTTGATATTATAGAACTGAATCTTTATGTTACATGATTTACAACAGATAAAACTCATTTGTCAGTCTTTCTAAACATATATTTTAACTAACCTTCCATCTCTTTAACATATTCATGCCTTCTGTTGAATGACATGTCTTTTTTAAACCACGCGGACACATCTCGGTGCCAAGGTTGAGAAGCCCTGCTTTAGCACATGCAAATGTGTGGCTCCCGGGAAAATGCCAGAATGTTTTCCTGGGAGGCAGCGCCGGAGCAGGACGCAGACTTGTCCCCGTGTGCCGAGGCCGAGGTGCAGCCTCAGCTGTCCTTGGGAACGCTCCGGAGACCCGCAGTCTAAAATTCTGTGATGCTGTCCCAGCCATTGTGGCTCAGTGGACAGAGCGTCGGCCTGTGGACCGAAGAGTCCCAGGTTCGATTCCGGTCAAGGGCATGTACCTCGGTTGTAGGCTCCTCCCCAGTCCGAGCCCTGGTCAGGGCTCATGCAGGAGGCAACGAATCGATGTGTTTCTCTCACATCGATGTTTCTCTCTATCTTTCCCTCTCTTTTCCACTCTCCCTAAAAATCAATGGAAAGATATCCTCAGGTGAGGATTAAAAAATAATAAGAAATAATAAATACCTAATTAAAAAAATAAAATTCTGTGATGCTGCAGCAACCACTTGCGGAATCTGTACCCAGATTTCAGCACTTTGTCACAGCTCCGATTATGATTGGAATTCTTCGTTAAATGCTTTTTTGAAAATGTTATTTTGTAAGACTTACTAGAAAAGTCAGCTTTTATTTTTTACTTCATTTTGACACATAAAAATTGTACATTTGTTGTCTAAAATCAGACCCATTCTGTAAGGCAGCAGTTCTCAAACGAGGGCCCAGCCAGAAGGGGCGCAGAGGCTGCTTTGGGGGCTCCCAAAGCAAAGCCGCTTCCCGGCAGACATCTCCTTCCTCCTCACTCTCCGTTCAGGCTCACCGTGTTGTCCGGGGCTGCCTAGCGTGAGGTGCCGTCGTCACCCTAATGCCTGTTGGCTTGCGTCTTGTGTTTTAAACATTTCTGTTTGGTTTCTAATGTGGTAAATATTGATAGCTTCCCACAGAAACAAAAGTTCCTAGGGCCTCGGTAACTTACATGATCGCAGCGAGACCCTAAGGCCAAAATGTTAGAACTGCTGCTCTAAGGAGAAATGTGTCTAACGTACGAATATTCCAACAAAATATCAAACTAATTCCAAAAATGTGTGTTGCAATGGCAGTGAAATGAATGCAAGTTTATTAATGATTAAACACTTTAAGGTTTAAAAAAAGAGTAAAAGTTAAAGGAATGTTGGCCATTCTCCAGGCCAGCTCCCTCAGCTTCCTCAGAAGAGCATTCCCGAAGCAGTCGGCGGATGTGAGCGTGGGCTGGGGTTGCTGGTGGTTGTCAGCTGTAACCATGGCCTCGGGCTGAAGCCGAGGTCTGTCTTTAGAGGAGGAGACTAAAGTGGAATTAACGTGTTGTATGAGCTTTGCTTTAAAATATTTCAAAAGAGGGAGAGGGGGCTGGATAAAGCAGGTGTGGCAGAATCTAAATCTTGGTCGTTTCCTGACTTGGGTGGTTGTTAAATAATCTGTTCCTTTATGTTTGAGAATGTTGGCAATCAAATATTATGGTGACTATCTAAACCCAAGATAGATAGTATTTCTCAAAAAATACAGAAAAACACGAACTAATAAAACTACAAAAAAAACGGAGACACAACTAGAAGACCAAGAATGCCCACACTCCAAACTGTGCATGGGAAGACAAGAAGAGCCCGCACGCCTCGGCGAGCTCTCCCCCGCGGACTCCCTTCAGCCTGGCTCCGGAGCTGCCTCCGTGTGACTCCCCGCGTGGATTACCCGCGTGGAGGGCAGGCAGGGCCGTGCTTGCCCTGGGGGAGCAGGCGTGGGCGGGGAGCGCACGGGAGCGTTGGTGGCGGGGGAAGCGTCAGCCCTTTGAGGTGTGGTGTATGTGGCTGTGCGCATTTCTCAGCATCCAGAGAAGGGTACACTAAGGTGTACATTTTACTGTAGGCAAGTTTAACCTTCAAAAATGTTTAAACCTTAAACTCTACCAATGGTGTGCTTGCCTAAGTGTTTAGGGATGAAGTCTACTAATGCCTGGAAAAAATGAAGATGGCTCAGTGGCTGGGTAGATGGAGATATATGTGACAATTAGGTGGGACAAAATGATAACTATAGATTCCAGCTCATGGGAATATGGGTGTTCACCTTACAACTCTTTCAACTTCTTAGAAGTTTGAAATTTTTCATCGGAAAAATGTTGGACTAAACACCACAGCGTAAAGAACCACCCCACCTCCCACCCGAGGAAACACACGCCACAGAGCAGAAGAGCACTGTTTAACATCACCCTCCGCTGACTTTCACACCCTCAGGTGTATGCAGAGATGAAAAATACTCTTGAGTCAGAAATTCAGAAACAGGTAAAAATGTGAAAAAGTGAAAAGAACTTGTACTCAGTCAAAAATGGATGAAATGCTAAAATTATCTCAGAAATTGACTAAATTTCAACATGCTCAAGGAAAGAAAATAGACTCACATGAAATATAATAAGGGCATTGAAGAGATGCCGGGAAACAACCAAGGGATGCAAATAAGCAAAGAAAGAAGAAAGGGTCAGAGAGCAGGTGGTGGAAGGGAAGCAGACAGGGAAGTAAAGCCGTGACTGCATGGGAGCCCGCGAAGCGCATGGAGCAGAAGGAACGTGGACGCTAACGGAGGTCTGGATCTGCACATCGGCAGCCTCGCTGGTGCCTGGGACGTTGGCCAGCGCCGGTCAGGTCTAAGATGTAGTCTAGTGATGCTATTAGACATCAAAGACCAAGGAAAAGTCCCCACGGCTCCCAAGCAAAAGAAGCCAATAGCTTACAAGGCAAGAGCATCAGACGTCTCGAAATCAATACATAAAGCACAAGGCAGTGATGGACAGGCTTTCAAAGGCATGAGTCAAGGGTACGTGTGCCTTTCAAGCATCCAGGCCAGAGAAAAACCATCTCAAACACAAGCCGGCGCCCGCTCACCCGGCTCGCGGAATCTCAGGACGAGCCTCGCCCAGCCACGGGGCAGGCGGGAGACGTCAGCCTCCGACGGAGAGTGGGCATCCCTGTATTTCATTGTCGCTGTGAGGCTAAAACAAAGGGTGTGACGAGGGGAAGTGCTGATGTCCTAGCACAGCAGAGATCATCTCAGCCGGGATGGGAGGAGGTAGGTGCAGAGGCAGTAGGATGGGCTCACTGGCTTTAGTGTGTGTGATAGAGGAGACTTAAAAGGACCGTCACAAATTGACACACGAGATGCTGAAGTGTCATCTAAGAAAAGGGAGGTCTGAGGACACGAGTGTGGACAGGAGGTAATGAGAACAAAATCTACACCTTCCTGAAAGCCATCAATCAGTGAACAGGCGTGCGAGCAAGGAGAACATCCCCTAGAGAAGGAAGCACCGAAAACAGGACCGCACGTGAAAACTGCACCGAGAAGGGGGCGTGGTTCGCTCCATGTCCGCGGCTGTGCCTTGGGCCTGCTGATCCCTCTGCCTGGGACGTCCCGTCCCCCGCCTGCCCTTCCGGCAAAGCCGCTGTGCGTTCTCGGGGTTGGGTCTGCGCTCCTTTTCGAGAGGCCCAGCCTTGCTTCTTCGGGCGAGAGTCTCTTCCGTGGCCCCCAAAGCACTGCGGAGGCCTGTCTCACAGGTCTGAGGCGCACGGAGGGCCGCAGGT